TATAAACACTAGGTCATTTCCCTAGTCAACCAGAAGATGTATTTTTCTTTGTGGATTGTTGTCAGTTTTCGTTTTCCCTCATCAATATTCAGCTGGGGGTGGGTGGGTGGGTGGGGGGGTGTAGGTTTTGTTTGGGGTTTTGGTTTTTTTTTTTCAAAAGAAAGGTGAGAATATAAGAACAGGAGAAATAGGGGCTATTTTTCCCAGAAAGTACTGGAAGCATATACTGCAGTGAGTGAGCCGCAGTTCTTATATGGCATCAGAACTGTTGAGAAATGGGCAGAAATTATGTTCTCATACAAGATCATCATCTCATTCATTTGACAACTAATGTGGAATTTAAGGTTTGTACACATGTAATGAACAAAGAGAAACTATAAAGTATACATTGCAGAAAACCATGGAGTGTTGCAAGAATGACCGCTATCAGTAGCTGAGCAACGTATGAGAAAAATTCAGTTATAAAAGGCTGTTTATGTTTTATTTATGCAAAATAAACAGGCCCTACCATCAGAAAATACATAGAAATGAATGTATCTGTGACAAACTCTATTCAAGTACTAAAAGTGTCTCAAAATATTTACTACAGAATACCATTAAAATCTGCAATTATGAAATATGGAGAATACAGAGGAAAAAGGATGTTTTGAAAATGAACTTTTTTAAAAATCCAAACAGACCGAATTCATACAGTACGGGTTTTTGTGGGGTTGGTTTTTGTTGGGTTTTTTTTCAATGTACATTTTTAGATCTTTACATTTAGTGCCACTCCTCAAAGGCTATGACAAAGGCTAAAACACTAAAAGTGACCAGTATGTTCCCGGCCAAATATTAAGCTGGATCTTTCTGTCCTGCACCTGAAATAAGGTTGCCTCTGATTATGTACACCTAAACTGGAAATTCCTTGCAGAATTCCTATTTTTCTACAGGTCTCTGCTGGTTTGTTTTTGTTTGGGTAGTTTTGCCTGATTGTGACTTTAACTACCCTTCAGTTATGAGACCGGGCACAAAGCACCACTGTATAGCTCAGTCTAGTGCATCCTATGACTAGGAAAAACCAGGAGTATTGTCATTTTATTGGATCAAGGACAAAATTGCTAAAAATTAGGATTTTCTTATTTTTATCAGGTTAACTTGTACCTTTTTTCTGAAGTTTCTCAAGAAGAAAATCATGTTTTAGGGAATCAACGTTTGCTTCTGGGTGTCCTCTCAAACTATTGATAGAGAGAAATTCAGAAAAATCATGATCTTTACAACATGGCAGCGCAACTATTCCCTGGGCTAATTATGTTGGAGAAGAAGGAACGTAATCCACACAAACAACTCCTAATAGTTCTGTAAAACCTGCTTTTCTTTATATATAAACTCCCCAGCAATGTAATGATGAACCTAAGATAATTACAGGATTTCTTAAGTATCATTTCTCCCACCAGCAATAGATAAGTGGACACAATTCCCCATACTGCTACTTTATAGCCTGGATTAGATGGGGATGATAGTTTTTATATTCCTTTTATTTGGTTTTGTTGGAGATTTTGTTGTTGGTGGAGGGTGACTGTTTTTCTGGACTGGGAGATAGCCTGAAGATAAAAACGGGTTCTGTACCTAGCTCAGCATTCAGACAGCATACCATCCATTTTTTTAGCCTGGTAGGCAGTATGAAAACAAGGTTTATGCAATCACCCTGTCTCTCTGTCTGTGTCCAAAGTTCCGATAACTTTGAAGGTGTTAACCAGCTTCAGCAGAGTTTGAGAGAGAATAATATTTATACAGATTTCATAAAGAGATTACCAGGCAAAGCAGACACTAGGGTTCAAACATTTTTAGCCAAAATACAACTTCCTAGCCAGTCAGCAAATTTCAACAGATTTCCATTTCTGAAAGTGGCAGCCCGCATGTTGCTGCCAAAATGCCCCAGAGAAGAAGATGCTAGGTATATGCAGCTGTAACAGAAAATACTATTATAATTCAGGTAAATAGTCAGCCAACCAAGAGGCAAATCCATATTAAATCAGGTTTCATTACCTTTGGTGTTCACAGAACTAGCAGCTTTTATTTCTGAAGGATGATATAAATGTGGGCACTCTGAAGTTTCTTCAGATAATCAGTGTTAGTGGATTGCTACTCATTGGGTGCAAATTAGAAGTAAATATAATTCTTCACTGATCCTTCTACGGTCTATGTCTCTTGCAGGTGTTCACAAGACCTGTGAGGCTCCACACTGGCACAGCTGGCTGCTACAGGGATTGCTAACCAGCTCTTTCAAGGACCTCATTCACTCATCACTCACCCAGCCATAAAATTCAACTTCAAGCCAGATTCATCACCTGGATTTCTTTACTGTTGTACTATCGGAAGTATAAACTGCACCTGTTTAGTGATCTATGAGAACCAGGAGCTCATATTACTTGCAGCTGTCCCATAACTCAGTCCAAAGGTGATGATCTCAGCTTCTCTCTCTCTGCTATTCGTATTTCATAGGCTCCTACTAGCACTAGTATTGCGTACCATCCCTCTGCCATGCATTTCTGAACTGATTTATGTCTGTGTCTGTGTTTAAGCATGCATTCCTCATCTAGACATAATCTATTCAGTTCATGAACCAGCAATATTGGATATTGTGCAGCCTGTACCTCCTTACTGCAAAACACCCTTTCCATAATCACAGGAACCGTGTCTTGATTAATCCAAGCTCAGCAGCCCATTTCAGTAACACTTTTAAGCACCTCATCACACATTTAAGCACTTCTAATGTGTACATCTTGTTATCATGTATTTTTCAGGTTTTTCAAGCCTGCACAGTCAGTATGACATTTTATATTATTTTTTATTTTCAGTTTATGTTGCATTATTTTAGCTTATAGCAAATAAATTCTATTTAAGGTAAGATTGAGGATTTATGGATGAGCTTGAGGCCACTAATGGGTGAGACTAATCCTTCCAGTGTTTCAATTTCTCTTTCTAAAATGATACCTTTAACACATACTTCCTAAGTGAAATAACACAAAGAAAACAGATAGCCAGAGATATGTCCTCCTCCATCATGACAGCTAGAAAGAGGAAAAAACCCAAACAGGCTAGAAGTTTTGGATAAAAACTGCTACAATTTTGAAGTATTTGATAAAAACTGCTGCATGATTCTGATTTAATCAAAATCTCTATGCTAGGAATATTTCAATTGAACAGATTTCCACTGAGAGAATTTGTCAGACTGAGTAACTCTGAGTTGCCAGAACTCAGTGTGAACTCACAAAGCTGTTTGAAAACTCTTTTTGCTAGAACCTAATTCTGGGCATGTCCTCAGTTGTGTGCTGATCCAGGTCAAAGTGCCTAGCTGCCAGTATTTAAAACAATGTAAAAGGCAAAGACTTGGTGTTCCCCCTTTCTGTTTGGATTATCTGAAAGCTATGACAATTTTTTACACTGTGCGTTGTGCTCCTTTGATCAATATAAAGCTGAGCCAGAACCAAAAACAACAGCTAGTGAAACTAATAGCCAGGCCTGAGACTACAGAATTCACATCATGTGACAAATGCTAGTATTCTAAAGATACAAATTCCATATAGGTCCTAAGTCTGCCAGGAATCTATTAAAGGTATCTTACACACACCATTTTATAGTTAGGATCCCACACAGTACCATGGTCAATCTTGCTGCACTGAGAGCTTTGTATAGGCACCTTAGGAACCGTGGACAGTGATGCGCCGAAGATTCATATGAAGGTCTACCAGAGGGAGAAGGTACATGCCAGCTTTTGCCAATACTGCCAGGAGCTTGCTCATGCCTGACTAGAGGAGTAAAGCAGCCAGTGAGCAACATGCAGGACTTGAACTGCATAATGAAGGCTAAGGACTATTGCTAGCCAAGACTTCTTAAACTCCCAGAAAACACCAAAAAGTTCCAAGGATAAAGGGAATAAATGTGCTGGTAAAGATATATGCCTTTTCCTCAGATGCCTTTTTCCTCTGAGCATATGTTTTTGTGGGGGAAGGTTATTTTCCATGCTGATCACTTGCTCAACCTGCAGCCAGGCACTGGACATGCTGCTGGCAGGGCTGTACTGCAGGTGATCTCACCTCTGCACCAGCTCTGGGTGGCTGCTGGAGGCAGCCTGCCTCTTCCGAGCCTATGAGTAGCCTGGCACCCTGCCCCAGCCTCGTGATCACTCCAAACTGCCCTAGGGATCTCGCTTACTTCTCCTTTCCTCAAGCCCTGCCCCTGTGCTCGCCCTTTGATATGTAGAGTGAATCACGGGGTTTCATTCCTGATTCATTTCTGCAGCTGGGATGAGGCTCTCAAACCAGGCAGTTTGCCCTGGTCCCCAGCCTCCTTCATCTGAGCTGTGTCCCCTCTTCGCAGTTCTCCACCCTTTGGTGCACCCACAGTCCCACAGAGGAGCAGTCTCCTGTGTTGCCATCGCTCCGAGGAGTAGTTTCCACAGACCGGGGGCAGGTACACGAAGAGCAACAATTCCAAGTCATACACTTCCAGTGCACTTCATTTTGCCCTGGCAAATTGCTCAGCAGACATCTCACTTGCCTGTGCCCTGAATAATCACCAGCTGTACAAGCAGACATATAACTTGGCCTAGAATCACAGAATCACAAAATCGTTTGGGTTGGAAGGGATGTTAAAGATCATTTGGTTCCACCCAACCTGCCATGGGCAGGGACACCTTCCACTAGACCAGGTTGCTCAAAGCCCCGTCCAACCTGGCCTTGAGCATTGCCAGGGGTGGGGCAGCGACAGCATCTCTGGGCAGACTGTTCCACTGGCTCACTACCTTCATAATAAGAAATTTCTTCCAAATATCTAATCTGAACCTATCCTTTGTCAGTTTAAAGCCATTCCCCTTTGTCCTGTCACTATGTGCCCTTTAAAAAAGCCCCTCTCCAGATTTCTTGTAGGCCGCCTTTAGGAGGGGATGAGATATAAAAGTCAAGTTATAAAACATAATTTTAGTGGTACTGTGCCTCACTTCCTACACCTTCTTTACTGACCTGCCACAGCTTTCCTCGAGCAGCTAGTTTCCCCTGCAGTAGTGCGGCGAGTTACTTCCTCCCGAGCTATCAAACAGGGAACAGAACCTAACTCGTGGTTAGGTGCTACCACGAAACAAACTCAGTTGCGGAAAGAAAACTCCCCGCTTCTTCCCCCGTGACTACCGCAACGTGGAGTTGATGTGAGTTGGGGGAGAGCTCGTATCAGCGGGCACAGGAGACAAAAGCTGCGGAAAAAGGAACTTAGTGACTGAAACCGCTTTGCCCCCCACCCTTAGCTGCGGGGCGGAGCTGCGCCGTCACCTGATTTCCCCTTCCTTAGCCCCAAACCCCTCAGCCTGGGCACGGCCTCCCTCTCGTACACTGCTTCTGTGTGGTTCCCGCTTCAGGAGAGCGGGTGCGGTGCAACCAGCCGGGCCAAAGGAACAGCGGGAACCCCCAGCTGCCCGACCCTCACATACAACGGAACCTAGCCCGGCCCACTGCCGGCAGCGGCGGGACGCGACTGGCGTGGGACCGCCCCTGCCCTGCGCCTGCGCACGCCGCGTATCCGGGTCCTTAACGTCGGGGTTGCTGTGTCGTGCTGGAGGCTTCTGGTCTTGTTTCCCGGTGCTCGGCCGGCTACCGGCACCTGCGCTGCAGGTGGGGAAGGCTGTGGCGGCGGGTGGGGGGCCTGGACCGAGAGCCGGGTCGAGCGCGGCCTGTGGCTGTAAAGCCCTAGCGGAGCCGGGAGCCGGGTGAGGGCCGCTGTCGCGGAGGTCTGTGGGCTTCAGCGGGGCCTGGTGGTGTTTGCGGGAGGCTGTCCTCGTCTCTCCGCCCCGAGACCGCCACCCACCTGCCGGAGCATGGCCCGTGCGGGGCCGAGCTTTCCGGGCCTTGTTCCGCCCCCGCCGGTGGAAACTTTGCCATATTTGCGAAAGCGGCCATCGCTTTGGCTGGACATGCGAGGGAGCCTGTACATCTCCGGGGATTGCTGACTCCTGTATTCTTGGCAGCGCCAGCCTTACCGAGCAGGCCGTGCCCCGGGGGCTGGTGCCTGAGCGGGTCTTGAATGCTCCCCCCCCCCCTTCCCCGAGCAAGCTTGTGGCTGCTAAGTCGTTGCCTTACCATGCTGCGTCCTCTGTATTGGAGGAGCTAGTGAGGTTCGTGGTTGAGACGCAGCTGGTGGGGAGAAGATGGTTGCAGTTTGCGACTCTGGTGACAGCATAGAAGTTGTCAGGTACAAAGCAGATATAGTAGAGCTACTACTGTTCAGTACGTAAGTGCTGGATAAAAGTGCAAAGCGTTCTTGAGATTTGGTAAACTGTAATAAGGTTTAGTGCTTGAGTGGGAGGGGAAGCATGTTGGAGGAATACATTTGACTTGAAGGTGGCTAAACAGTTCTGTTTGCGAACTGAGATGTTTCTCCGAAGTTTCTGTCAGTAGAACAGCCTTATTCTAATTACGGAAGATCGGGTACAGCTGGTATTGGAGGCTATACTCGTATTAGTATTTTAATTCAAGTAAAGGCTGTACTCTTGAGATGAGCTCCTAGTCATCCTTGCTTACTGCATTTTCTTTGACATCCCGGTGTAATCTGGGAGAGTGTAAGCTCTTACCCTTTTGGAAGAGCCTAAAACTAGAAGGTGCACTTCAATTGTGAGTGGGTGTTGTCAGTGTAGACAAGAGGTAGTATGAAATACACATGTATAGTGTGGATATTGAAACCTCAGTATTCATAGAATCATAGAATGGTTACAGTCGGACCTAAGGTCAGGACCTTAAGATAAGCAAGTTCCAACCCCCTTGCCATGGGCAGGGGACACCTCCCACTAGACCATGTTGCCCAAGGCCATGGCCAGCCTGGCCTCGAACACTGTAAGGGCTGGAGCATTTACTACTTCTTTGAGCAGCCCTCACAGTAAAGAACTTATTTCTGCAGAGTTGCTGCTTGTTCTGTATTTAGTTGTTAATGTAGGCATAGCCTGAGCATATCAGTAGAGCAGGTAAGGTGAATACAGTTGTAGCTCAACAGGAGTGGGGATTGATCCCTAAGCTTTTGGAGCTGTAACAGTGACAGCTATTGCCTAAGCTGCAAGACTCAAAGTTTCGTAGCTTAAAAGCTGTAGGTCAGCTACAGGGAGAACAGTAAGCAAAAAACCCCATGTGGAATAATTGTCAATGCTGTCAACAGCTTTTCAGAAAATGTTTTACAATAGCTCAGTAACTATAGTTTTCAGTTCAACCGTTTCCATTATTGAATGGCTTCTGAACTTAAGATGTTTAAAATATGCTGTAGAGGCATAAGGACAAATAGTTTTTCTTCTTGTAAGGGTTTCATAACTTACTTTAAGAAAATAATGCTGCATGTTTGCTGAAACAGTAACTGTGACTTGTTGGCATTTTTTCCTTACTTTTCCTGTCTTAGATTCACCTAGCCTTGTGCAATATAATGAATTATTGTCGTGCTTGTGTTACCTTCACCATACTTGAGATCTTTCTGTTCTGCCTTGAGTGATTGGTTTAAAATATTCTGACTTGTTTTGCTCTTTTGATCTTCCTCTTAGGGCTTCCTTTCTTGGTGAACCAGCATGGTAATTGCTAGCAGCTGCTTTTAAAAATGCCTGTTACAATGAAAAAAAAAAAAAAAAGAAAAAGTTTTGCATTTTTAAATCATTCCTCAAGACATGGGTGAATTTAGTGGCTGGGTGTTAAGTTAAAATGGGTTCTGGGGATAAACAGGAGAACTGATTGCTGCTGTACAGATTTATTTTTTCAACTTTGGATTTATTTTCCATCTGTTGCAATTTAGAAAAGTTAGAAGGGTTTCTACTTGCATCACTTGATTACAGCCTTTAGTTTCACGTGTTCTGTGTTTTAAGGTAGCTTCAGTGTCATGGCTGAAAAACTACAGTAAGGAGAATACTTGAAAATTTACGTAGGTAGCAGAAATGTTTTTGTGGTTAATACCATTTTGTTAGGGTTGTTTTTTTTTAACAAGTCTTTAGAACTGCAGCACATTGCCAGCAGCTATGTTAAAATAATTCCTATTTTTCCCTTGACTGTCCTGTGCATCAGTCCTCGTTTAAGTTAAAGGGAGTCATCAGTTCAAACACCTGAAGGTCTGTATTTCTAGCTTAGAAACTAGTAGCTGATCCCATGTTCTGAAGACAAGTCCAGCTTGAAAAGCTCATTTGACTTGGGTCTGTAGTGTGTGTAGAATCCACTGAAAATTTCAAACTTGCTTTCTAGAGCGATGTCTTGAAATCTTTTCTTTTTTTCTTTTTTTTTTTTTATACAAAGATTGTGTATTGTGAAAGTCTGTACAATAACAATCCTTTGAAAAGCACAGCTAGACTGTTGCAACCTTTGCCAGCCATTGTGCTGTTCTAACTTAAATGCCTCTTGTTGACCTCTCTCCAACCTGTACATATTGAAGTATCTGAGCAAAGCTCCCAATTAGTTAAGGTTCTTGCAACTTGGGGTTGACTCCAGCTTGACAGGGCCTTAGCGATTTGCAGGTCTTGAGGAATCTGAACAGAGGGCAGCAGGAGTCTTGTCAGAGTGATGGTCATTGACTAATAGTTACCTGATGCAGAGGAGTAAGTGCAAGCCAAGTTTGTTCTTCCTGAAAGCTTTCTTCTGGCTTTTATTTTAGACATGGGAAAATCACTTTCTCACTTGCCTATGCACACATGCAAGGAAGATAGCTGCAATGGAGCCACAGTGTCTGATAATATGAGGAATGGATTACTTAACTCAGAATCACACAACGAAGACAGCAGATGTGGAGATGTGTCACAGTTTCCCTATGTGGAATTTACAGGAAGAGACAGTGTTACCTGCCCAACTTGCCAGGGAACAGGAAGAATTCCACGAGGTGAGTTTTCTTTATTTCTTTTTGTAACCTGTACATTACTTCATAACCATGTGATGTTGAAACTGTAACAATCCACAACAAATTACTCTCCTACTTAAAATGACATTTTTCATCGTTTTTACTTTGTAGCTCTTAAGCATTTTGGTATGATTACACTAAATGGACAAAATAAATTGAATCAGCTTTGGCTGTTACTTGTTGGGTTTTCCTTTCTACAATGCTGGTGTGTTCTTTGCTTCTCAGCTTTTAATTTGCATGTAACCCTAGCTCTTGCAAGTTGAATTTCCAAACCTTGATTTTTGTGACATTTTATTGCATCTTTTTTTAACTGCCTATTTTAAGCTATTTGAATCAATTTATAATTCTGCAAAAATAGCTGCAAATGCAGAGAGTTAAAAGAAGGCCTGTGCTACAACACCATTTCCCTCATTTATAGTGAATTTTCTTGCCCTCACTGCGGCCAGGGCCCATCAATTTCCTTTACTCTCTCTTGGTCCTGTCTGTCGCCGCTAGGCGAAGGACCCCAGCTGGGTGCTGAAAATACAAAGTATCTCTGGTGGCCCTGGGAGATAGTAGGCTGCACAGCATTAGTCTTCATGCCTGTTTTGTTTCCTAGCTGCCCTCATCCTTTGCTTTTCCTGTTAATAAAATATATTCTGCTTTATTTGTGCTTCTCTCCTATACACTAAGCCAACAGAACAGCTATTTAGGAAGAGACCATTGAAAGCAGGATAGCTGAACTGTGCAAAAGGAGAGTGTCAAATGTAGTGTGGTAAGGCACTCTACATGTGCCAGCCTGCTTCAGCTGTAAGATCTTTCCTTTGCTGGCAAGGAAGAACTGGTGAGAGGGTTTCATGCTTGGAGCTGCTTTGCTTTTGGCAGAACTCTTACCTAAAATAGATTATTCAGTGTAAAAGCTTTCGGAACTGATTTTTGACCAGTAGCTTGGGAAAATTGACTGTGCCATGTTGTCCTTGTACATGTGCTTCAGTCAGATTGGATTCTGATATAGTTCACAAATACTTCTGTCGTACGTGTGAATAAGTGTCAGGAAGCACAGGATATTTAAACAGTTGTAAGTGCCGTAAGAGGCTTGTACTTTAGCTGTTAAACTTCATACTGTGATGCATTCATTCTTTGAGTACCTCTGAATTTGGCAAATTTGAAATGTGGAAAAACTAGCAACTAAAGATTATAACTGAAAGA